ATGACTCTATACTGCTCTACATACTATATACTGAAATGTAAGTACAATATTTATATTCCAATAATTTTATTTTATTATATGCTAAAAATGAGAAAGTAAGCAATTTTTCAGTAACAGTGACACTTTTGTATTTTTAAGTCTGATTTTTGTAAGCAAGTGGTTAAGTGAGGTGAAACTGGGGGTATGCAAGATAAATCAGACTCCTGAAAGGGAACGTCTGGAAAGGTTGAGAACCACTGCTCTAGCCAATCCTGTTTATAATGAAGAGGGCATCATCCTTGCTATAGGGCTCTGGCTGCCTGTGATTGCCCTTCCTGCTATAGCCCATTGCAAACGGAACAGAACTGCTCTCTACTCCTCCTAGTGGACACCAATTTAAAAATCAAATCAAGTTTAAACTGTGCCTTTTCTTTGGAGTCTGGACAGTATCACTGATTAGACTGGGGAATTCTTATTTTTTGATTTTATAGAACAGTTTACAGTGAGTGGAAAAAGCTAGACAAAAAAGCACAGATCAAAGTCCCTTGCCCAAAGTGTATAGGGAACTGGGGATAATGAGTACCTCACATAAGGTGAATAGGCTCTGGCCCTTAAGGTGAAAACTGTCACAGGATGACTAAAACTGGCACCCACTAAATTTCTTGCTAGACTTTCCTGGGAGAAGTGGCGGACACCTCAGTGACTAGGACAGTTAAAAGAAGACTGCACAAGACACAAGAAAAATGTGCAAGAGGAGAAAGAAAAACCCAGCACTGGTCATGGGGTGGTAGTCTACCTGAGACAATAGGTCTTTTCTAGGATTCTGCTGCCAATTATTTCTGGGCCCATGTTAAAAACACAAAATATAAGCAACCGAAGTGGGGGAAAGGCCCACTAGCCCCACAACACCAGTTAGCTGTCCAAAATGTAATCTTGTTTGGACATTGTCAGGCTAAAAATCACATGGGTTATTTCTTTTTACATATTTTTACCTGGACAGTTAATACCTTTCTCTATTAAAAGGTAATACTTTAACAGTCCAGGTTGAATAAAATAAACAAGTATAAATGGTGAACAGCAAATGGGACTTTAATCTAGACTGGTCAATTTTACTTTGATTCTCATGTTCATATCTGTATTTACATATATCCAGTGTCAACCATACAACATATACACAATTAGAGCACAGTCCTACTAACACTCATTCATGTAGGTCACCCACTACAGTTCCCCCCCCCCATGCACTTTGTCTTAACTTCCCCTCTCCCAGTTTTAGTCTCCACAGGCAGCACTATAAACTTCTGGCAGCACAGCTATGTCAGTGAGGGGGTGTGAGGAGGTACAATTTGCAACCACCACCACTGTGTCAACAAAAGTCCATAGTGTAAACAGTTATACTGGGAAAACTGCATTTTTTCTGGTATAGCTTATTTTGCTCAAAGGGACTTCTCTCTCACACTTCACTTCATGCATCCTTTCACTCCATTCTTTATGCCTGGAATAGTTTTCTTTATTATACAACAAGCAAATTATCTTCATGCAAATCCCCCTTTAACACACACCTTCTGTGAAGCCTGAGATAAATGCACTAAAAATGTGAGCATTGTATTAAAATAAAACTCCCATCAGCACAACTTTGTGAGTGAATTGCTATCAGGCCATTCAATGTGTAAATATGCTTGATCTATAAAGTCTAATTTAGAATGCAAGATCTTTGGGGCAGGGATAAAGTGACCATGTTTTCAAAATAAAAAAACGGCATTTTTACAGCAACTTTTTAGGGTAATGAAATATACTTTTTAAAGTGTTCTTCTGTATGTGCTGACTTTACTATTGCCAGTTCCTGACTCAGTGACACAGGTATATTTCTGAGTACAGGACTTTTTCCAGCAAGTGTCTGAATAAATTTGTCATAAAACATTCACTTCAAGAAAAAGCATAATTTTGATAGCATTCGACTTTTCCATTCACTTCAAAACACTGTTTTTTCACACTGAACACTTGTTTTACTAGACTGTGTGTTCCCAGTAAACACAGACCAAAGGATACTTGATACAACAGTACATCTTGAACATTTTGTGGTTCTAACAAAAAATTATTAATGAAATGAAAATTGGAACATTTCAAGTGTCCTGAAAAACTGGCAGATATGGACACTTAGGGTAGAGGCCACATCTCTCATTGTGTCTATACACTGCAGAGCACACTGATGGAGAGCAAGAAATCAAAGTGGAATTTTACTAATCTGCAGTCACTTTACAGAAGTTGCACTAACGGTTTCCCCACTTCTCAGGAAAATTCAACAAGACATCACCACAGTGATTTGTCTGCATTACAAGTTTTTTTTGTTTGTTTTACAAAATATACTACAGCATATGACCCTGTGAAGTATCAAAGCAATACTCAGCACTTTAAATAATCAGAGTACATTGTGGGATCCAGTAATCTTGCTCTTTTATTGGATTTGTTTACTCACTACTTTAATTCCATGAGACCACTCATTCATCCATGCAACTTAGCAAGGTCGTACTGAAGCAGTATTACGACACTGTAGTTCAGTAAGAAACAGGAAGATTGCCATATTTGTTTTACATATTATGGAATTAGACACCACAGAATGCACAATTTTTAAAAAATCTATTTAAAAATTGAAATATTTATTTTAACTTAGAAACAAACTGAACTTCTTAAATTTAAATTTTTTAATCAAAAATTATTCACGCAATGTTCATGTTGTGATTTTTTAATTTTATTTTTGAAATGAAACCATTGTACATTGTACAAACCATAGCTACTGATGGAATAAATAAGTGAAAAATTATACTGCTGTACAACACACACAAAAATCATAAGATGGAAAACGATTAGGTATTGGGAGAAAAAAACAGAATTCTTTACATCTTCTAACAGACCCTTAGATATAAAGAACATTCCAAAACATGACAATGTTTATGTATGAAGATAGCCACCCAAAACCATATTTTATACTGCCTTGTTGATTTGTTGTTTTGTAAGTGCCAGCACTTTTTGGAATGTTTAACAACTACTTTCCCAAGCATAAAAATTCCAAGGAATAGTTCTGCTATAAAACGTTTGGCTGTGTAAATCGCTTATTTGGAAGGCCTTCTCATGTGTTCCACAACCTAAGCTAATTTACTTTTTTGCTTCTAGTTTCTTTTGTTTTTGTAACTGAAGCTCCAACATTCAGCATGTAGCAAGGAAGCACTTCTTGATATTTGCACTATTTCTAAAACATTAGCTGTATGAGAACTTTCAGTTACCTCGAAGTAAATTACAACTCCCCTTCTGCTTCATGTCTCAATGCTTTCAATACACTCTTTTACAGTGAGTTCATAAAACAAATTTCTGGTAGAGATGGGTCCAAGCCAAAACATTGAATCTAGATGCGGTTCCAAACCTCAAGTAGATTTGGATCCTATGTTCTGGTCTGGTCACATCTGTACTTTCTGGCATTAAAATGTGTTTAATCACATCCACTGGCCCATTAATGTTATCAGGCACTTCAAAGAAAGACTAATAACAGTCTTATACATTATTTTGGATTTCTTCATACCAGGTAATGTCAAGGTCTCACTTCTTAGAGAATGACACTAACAGGTTTAAGGAACCCAAACCTATCTGCTTTTTCAATTGTCTGTTGTCACTAGAATCTGTGGTTAAAAGAACTTCTGAATGTATTTTGTATAAGCTGTAAATAAAAAGTTACTATTTTAGAAATAAAGCCACTAGCAATCGCTGGTTTGTTTTCCAAACCACAGTACAATGGACACAGTTCTGAGCAGAAGCCACAGGAGGAAAAGAAGGAATTTTATAGTTAAACCTGTTGGTGTCAGTAATGCCAATAAACATTTCTATCTAATGAAAAATTTGAGGTATTTTAGTGCTATTTATATTTTTCTTCCTAAAGTACAGGAATCAGCTTTGAAATCAAAAAGCTTATCTACCCCTTCGGAAACCTGTAGAAAAATCAAAATTAAAAACATTTTGGGACGCATCTGAAGATGGTGATCAGTAAACATGACTACTTGTCAAAGGTGGCATCAGATTCATGTAGTTTTAGCATTCAAAATTAAAATGCTAGTGAATCCGTGTTTTTAAAAGTCTGATTTTTTTTTTTATTTGCCCATTTTATATATCAAATAGAATTTTTCTCACAAAATATCAATTAAATCTGAGTGTAATATACATACAAACTGATAGCCATTGACCAGTTATCAACATTTTTAAGCATACACACAATTCAAGAGAGAAATTACTCTACCATTCCAATATGTTTATTGTGCAAATATAACTTTTGGCTCCTCGGTTCCTTAGTTTCAGGAAGTTAATGGACTTCATGATCTGACCAGAGAACCCAAAAACTTATTAGGGAGCACACTGGTTTCATGAATGATTTGCAACCAAATTTTATTTAGTTGAGATCCAAAAAAGTTTATTTCAACATAAAAGGAAAAGTTCCCAAACTGAGCATAGCAAGTCACTTCGGAGGTTATTCCAACAGACATTTTACGGAAGGTCAGCATTGGCTCCTCACTCTTCTCCTACTCCCAATTGTTCTTCATAATTAAGGTGGTAATTGCAAATGCAATGTAGTAGTCAAAGCTCAAGCCATTTTCACCATTGGAGAATTCAGAAATAAGCAAGTTTACAAAGAGCTAATTATGAAAATGTGTGGACAGGAAGATTTATCATTTTAAAAAATATTTACAGTTCTCAGATTACACACACTGCACAATTTTTTGGAGATGTGGGATCTGGTTTTAAATTACAAGACCCATCTCCCTCTGAGAGTGAATGAAGATTAAGGCCCAATCCAGCAACATTTGAATAACACCTCATGTGAATATTCTTTAGTCACACAAGTAGTTACCATGGACATGACTCAGTTTTGAAGGGGCTTGGCACCTCCCTGGAAGTAATATTCCCATTGCAATATCAGGCCCTTAAAGGCCTGATCCATGTAGATACTCTGCACCTCTAAATGCCATTTAGAGGCTCAGAGCCTCTCAAACAAGCCTAGCATAAGCACGCGTCAACATAATTGAAAAGAAAGGATAATTTCTATCAATAATGTAGAGATTATGGAAATAAGACTTATTTACAAAGACTAGCTGAAAGTTTAAAAAAATCCCAAATACAGTATAGCCTGGAATATATCAGTAAACATCTTATTTAAGAACAGTACAATGAAATCCAGTTCAGTGAAAACCTGATATCAGAATAAATCATTTGCTGCACATCAATCCCTTTGATCCTATCTTTATAGTGGAACTTTTTAATAAAACAATTACTGTACCCAGTACAGAGATCTGGACCTATTACTTAATCTACTTTACTTCTATTAAATTTATTCAGATCTGGAATATAAATGGTAAATAAATCATATTAACTTCCGATGAAGTTAAGAATAGTTTAAAAGACCAGATTTACAGTTTGCGAATGCTGGGCATTCAATAAAAGGTCTCCACTGTAGTTGCAGAAAAGTAAAATGACGCTTCTTTGTCTCCTTGGACTCCAAGTGTGAAAATGGCTTCCAGATCAATTTTATCTCTATTTGTTAAGTTTTAAGCACCAGGGATTTAAAATAAAAAAAATTAAAAAAAAACAGAAAAACTTACTACATGGCATTATACAAACATAGGCCACTTTGCAAAGGAGACAGCTGCAAAACAACTTTAAAAATTAGCACTGTTTTCAGAACACAAGGCACAAAACAAAAGCAGACATCACGCCAGAACAATGAACTTCACATGAAAGCTAATACCTGACCTGTACCATCCTTAAATATCTTACATTGTTAAATAGAGAAATGGAAAAAAACAAACAAACAAAAAAAACCAGCAGCAACATAATTGTAATTTTGACTTTAGAAACAGTGCGTAGACCCCTCCTGAGTTGTTTACTCCAACCATTTCAGAGACAGTAACTTAAAAGTTCTCAATGTTTGTTTCACAGGAAAAAGTTTTCAGTGTCTGAGAAGTTAAACCTTTGCTAGGTTTTCTTGGATTTTTGCTTGGTAACTTGAAAAGTTAGGAGTTCTGTCCTCATCCAAGAGAAGATGCTTAAGTAAAGTTGTTCTATGATTAAGCCCACTGATGTACCTTACATAAAAACTGATCAGGAAAATCTATAGTCTAAATCTCTTCAACATTTTGTTGGGAAGCCTCTACTTTCATCTTTTTAGAAGGTGGCACTCCTTCAGAGTCCTTAACAGGAAAGAGAGAAAATTCATGTTATCATTGGACTAAATTTTAGGTGCCGTAGACATCAGATTAAAATTAAAAAAAGTGAATACTCTCATGTTACTTGGGGGACACAAAATATCCTAGGATGTGAATGACATAACCAAATAAACACACTTCCTGAAATCATCTTTCTAAACATCACGTTGCTTGGTCTTCTTGTTACCTAGTCACATAGGGCAAAATCCTGATTCCAGGCATGAAGCCACTGTATACACTCCAAAGCAACAGCAGTAACATGTGATCAGACTGTGACTTACCTCAGCTCCATACTAAGCCACAACAAAAACCAAAGACCCAGAAGTTACTCCTTCTAGTAGCAGCAGCAATTTCTGCAGGACAGGGTGTGTGAGGTTGGGAGTGGGCACATGTGCACTCAGACGTAAAACCACCAGCAAGTCTCAGAGAGGACCTGTAGTGCAGATTTAGGTGGGATAATTCCCAAGCCACAGCCCCTCTCCCAGCCATGGCTCTGCAGACATACACATACCTCAAACCAAAATCTGACCCACTGAGTTTATTAGCATTACATTTTTGCCAGCTCTATTAGCTGTTCTGCTTTATAAAGACAATATATTTATTTCCAAATGGAAATTAAAGGGATACATTTTGGGCACAGCCTACTGGATTGTAAGTAAATAAAAATATTCTTATTTGGATTGTAACATTTCCTTACATATCAGACATGGGCTGGTGCAGATGAGCCTGAAAGTGAAACTAATCAGTCTTCTTACTGTTAAAGGTGAATGAAATTGAAACAGAAGGCCAAATGAATGGTGAAAGCACATCAGATATTTAAAATTATTTAATAGTCCAGGGGGGAGGGATAGCTCAGTGGTTTGAGCATTTGCCCGCTAAACCCAGGGTTGTGAGCTCAATCTTTGAGGGGGCCATTTAGGGATCTGGGGCAAAAATCTGTCTGGGGATTGGTCCTGCTTTGAGCAGGGGGTTGGACTAGATGCAGGGCCGGCTCCAGGATTTTGGCCTCCCCAAGCAGCCAAAATAGACAAACAAATAACTAAATAAATAAAAAGCCGCGAGCAGGAGTGATGGACCGTCCGCTGAATTGCCGCCAAATAGCTGGACGTGCCGCCCCTCTCCAGAGTGGCCGCCCCAAGCACCTGCTTGGCAAGCTGGTGCCTGGAGCCAGCCCTGACTAGATGACCTCCTGAGGTCCCTTCCAACCCTGATATTCTATGATTCTATGATTCAAGGTGATCTTAGTAACACAGCTAAGGAAATAAATGTAAGCGTGATTGGTCTCCTGACAGTTTTTCTTAAACTTTTTTTTAAAGTTGATGTTGAATTTGTAAAAGTAGCTTTTTTGTACTTAATTAAAATTACCTGAGAGTTTTTAGATGCCTCTGTAGTTATATCATTTTCTCCAGAGGATTGAATTTCTGCTTTCTCTGAACTATTCATGGAATTTTCCATTGAAGACTGTGAATTCTGTTCATCAGAAGTATCTGAAAGAGTAAAAACTTGATTTAAACATGAAAAATCAACTTTCAATACAAGCTTTTACTCTCTAATGCTAATGTACATATAATACCTTTCATTCAAATATAACCAGTTGTGATTGCATTCACACAATAACACCTGAATCATCAGTGGAGACTGAACCCAGAATATTCAGCACCCAAACCACAGGCTTCTGCCACTTGAGCTAAACTAAAGAATTATTTTTACCTGTGAGTTAGTAGTAAGGTGTACAGTAGCTTGGACCAGCCACTAGAGGCAGTCATGATCCACAGTTGTATTGCACAAAGATTTCAAAGTACTTGGCACACATGAATAAAGTTTCAAAATAAGTAGATGAAGTATATAAATAATATGGAAATTATTACAACCAGTAGTGAAATGCAGCTACCTGTGGGATGGAGGGTTGGAGACAGGAAGTAAAAGAATAACTTATCCAACAAACTTGGGTGGGAGGCCACGGCAGCTAGATACACAGAACTTAATTACCGAACTGGAACTTAACCCCCAGGACACTTAAAACATATTCCTACAAAAAGTGGCACGTAATCATTCTAACACAGTATCTAGGAATCTAGCTTCATCAATAAGGTTATATGTTTTTCAAATCTATTGGATGTTTGTGGGAAATCTCCCCTAGATGTTCAAGTTTGCAATGGTTCCTACCTGGTTCAAACTTTCATTGCTGCTCACTCTAATAAACAGCTTTTGAATAGATTCCCTTCTTCCACTCTCTATACCCATCACTTCTATATTCTAATTCCTATTTTTTAAATTCTCAAATCCCCCAAGAAAAAGAGGGTAAGATTTAAAAGTTCTTTACTGGTTACTGAACACCTTCTGAAACTTTGCACATAAAGTTACCGAAAGGCAAGCCTTCTCCAGAAAATATTTTATTGACTGTGGTCTGAAGAGTGATATTTCTCAAAATGACTCAGTCAGATGCAAGATGTTTGTTTTTGTGGTTTTGTGGGGGGTTCTCTCTAAATTGCCATAGAATTGTTTGTGTGGCTATAAGAAAACACTAAGTCTTCAGTACTCCAGATTAAAAGCACTTCTGAGCAGGGCTTTATTTCCTTTTGTACTACAGCACAATTTTCTGACACTGTTAAACTACAGTTCACTTCTCTCTACATTAGAAGACCTAACCGTGTTTTAACCTTGGGTGCATCTGCACACAAGCAGGTTATTGTGATATACACAGGTCCCTGACATGATTGATTTTACTGAGCAGATGGGACCTACATTTGGCCCATCTCGAATTCATGCATGTGAAGACTCGCTATAGTCTAAGTGCCTGATCCTGGTGATCTTTAGGTGAAAGGATCCGTGTCCTAATACTAGGGCCCTACTAAATTCACAGTCCATTTTGGTTAATTTCACGGTCACAGGATTTTAAAAATCATAAATGTCATGATTTCAGATATTTAAATCTGAAATTTCACAGTATTGTAACTGTAGGGGTCCTGACCCAAAATGGGATTGGGAGGTCGCAGTATTGCCCCCCTTACCTCTGTGCTCTTGCTTGCGGCAGCGCTGCCTTCAGAGCTTGGCGCCCTGTCAGCAGCTGCCGCTCTTCAACCACCCACTCTAAAGGCAGCACTGCTGCCAGCAACAGCGCAAAAGTAAGGATAGCATGGCATGGCCACTCTTAGTTCTGTGCTGCTGCCTTCAGAGCTGGGCCCCTGGCCAGCAGCCGCCGCTCTCTGGCCACCCAGCTCTGAAGGCAGCACAGAAGTAAGGGTGGCAATACTGCGACCCCCCTGCAACCCCTTTTTGGGTTAGGACCCCCAGTTTGAGAAACGTTAACCTCCCCCGTGAAATCTGTCTAGTATAGGATAAAATTACATAAAAGACCAGATTTCACAGTCCGTGATGCGTTTTTCATGCCCGTGAATTTGGTAGGGCCCTACCTATTACCTGTCCTCAGAGTCATTCAGACCTGCCAATAATTAGTTTACATAGGAAAGCGTTCTAAAATATTTGTTCATTATAAAAATGTTGATTTTAAGCACTTAGGGCCAATTCTTCCCCTAAGCTTCCCCAATGACTTCAAAATAGTCACATAAGATGTACAGCGGAATTTGGGTCCTTAATTTGTTACCTGCTATTTAAATTCAGCTTGGCAGTGTCACAATCAAAGCTATTTGATCAAACAGCATCATTCTCCAATCGATGATGGGTTATTTGGATTTAGAATCCCTAATTAAACACAGTATCCAACCAGCAAAAAGGCCAGATTAGTATGTATTTTACCCTAGCTTCTCCCTCTCGGTTCACAGCAATAGCCCTGGAATCAACACAAGGAAAGATTTTCCTTGAACATAAATTTAGTCATGGGAGCATGTACATTATGTAATCGTCTGAATTCACCCATGAACAAGTTAAAAGCAAGTTTACCATCTGGCAGTAAATCCATACAGTTCTCAGTGAGCAGTCAGTTGAGAATACTATTTTATAAAATTTGGCTTTCCTGCGTCTACTTTGGTAGTGATTTGGCTGCCAAATTGCCCTGCATCTAACAGTTACATTCTAGTCATTGAAGGTATTTAGCATGATGTACATGGTTCTAATATTACTGAGATAACTGATCTAAATTTAAATTGGATATTGGATCTACTGAGTTAAGAACTGAATCAGTAGGAAGAGATTTGCCAAGGACAATTTAAAGGCTTTGTTATGGCAGGAATTTTGCAACCAGATTATTAGAATGCTGTTAAGAGTATATTTTATCTATTATAATAGGGAGGAGAAAATGGTTTCTTTCAAAACATCACAACGTAAGATTTTGCATAAATAAACAGCAAATGTTTCAGTTACTAAAATTTTACAGGGCACCAAAGAAATATAGCATTAACAAAGTAAGATTTAAAACATTTTCACCAACATCGTGTTTGGCTGTTTTTCTGCACAGCAAATAAAATACATTATGTACTTTTTAGAAATCTGGGCATACAAATTCAGAGTTAGCTTTAAAAGAAATGTAGCAAAGCGAATTAAAAAAAGTAAAGTTAAAATAAAAATGTACACATAAAAGTTACAAAATATCAATATTTGTTAGTTCCATTTTCGTTTAGACCCCAATCATGTTAGGTGAAGCGCATCCTCAACTCCCACTGGCTGAGCACCTGGCAGGATCAAGGCTTTGATAAATGTCTAAACAGTGACCTAACAAAGGATTTTTTAAGATTGGGGTTTATGCCTATTTTTTGCTTCTTGGTATGGACTAAACCAGCCTAAAAGGTTTATTTAAGGTTCCCCCCTCCTCCGTTTGTTTTTTACCTTAAGAATATCTGGAATGTCAAGTCTGACCTTCCCTGCTTTCACTGGAGCATCAATGAGCAATATAAGGGAGTTATTGTGAGTTCTCAAGAAAGCCCAAGGATGCTGAATACTGAAGCAACTTCCTCCTTTAAAATGTTAATTTTCAGTTACTGACATTAGATAAGTTTTACATAATAAAAGTTTTAAAGTCAATAAAAATCTCTTCCCCTCTCAGATGATCAATTTTCACCTGTTTAGCTCTTGTGATGTAACCATTTCACTAGTTCGCAGTCAGTCCTCCAACCTAGGCAGGACCTGAATTTCTAAGGTATAAAACCAAGCAGAAAAATAATTTTCCATTCTATTTGGAGCCACGAGACAACCAGGCAGTAAAGATTTCAGACCTGGGCCAGCTACCACTGAAGTCAGTGGAACTCTCATGGAAGAAATTAATTTTGTAATTTAGTTTAAACCTGTTCTTGCTCCCTGTGAAGTCAATAGGAGTTTTAAGTACATAAATAAAATACTTACATACCAAGGACTTGGCTCTTATTTACACAGCAATGAAGTTTAGAAGATTTAAGCCAACTAGATATGATTATGAAGAAGTTAAATAGCTAATAACATGTGGACTGTGGCAACTCATCATTTTTGATTTGTGAGTTGTTTTGTGAGCTGTATTTGTTGTTTCGGAAGAATGGATGGTTGTGTTTTGTATCACATGCCAGTCACTCTGTTCCACTTTTATTATTTGAGCTTCTTTCTTATCAAGAATGTTGAACTCAAGTATTTGTTTGAACTAGTGCTTCCTATTAGAAAAGCTGCAGGCACAAGATATATCTATATGTATTACCTTCTGAACCAGGTTGCTCCTTTGCATCTGCTTGAGTTTCATCAGACTTTACTTCAGTGCCATCTGCTTGTGTTGCTGAGTTCTGCTCAGGGGCTGGACTTGAGTTGCTACTGTTCTCCTGTTTTATTGGAGAAGCGTCAGCTATTGAACTCTGGTTGCTATTGTCATCTGGAAAAAAATTCTACCTTGATTAAAAGTGAATGAAACAGGACATTTTGTCTCTTCTTGAAGTTATATATTTTTATGCATCATTGCATAGTTAATATTGGATGTGATCCTGCATGACTTGCCATCCCAGTGACTTCAGTGGGAATTTTGGGTGAGCTGAGGACTGTTCAGGTTCACAGATAAGTAGGACTCTTTACACTTAAGTCCCCTTCACTCAACGGACATTCTCTGATGCCCGATTTTGTACACAGTGCTGCTTAACTATAGTGTATATTTCTTCAAATATGGTGATCGAGGGCTCTAAATAATAGCAGCACAAAATTCTTGGATTTATATACATCTCTTATCAGAAGCCAGAATTCTATATTTTATCAGTTCATTCATCAAGAGCATCAGTACCCAACTAGACTATTAGTACTTACCCTGCAGATTTATATGCTCCTTCATGCCCCTCCCTATACTCAAAAGAACAGGTCGGCCTTCCAGAGCATCCTGAAGGTCTACAAACCTGGGCCACGTCAAGTCAAAGGGAGAAGCAAATCCTAATATCAAGAGCCCCTCAGTGGGAATGCCCTGCCTGCACCAGGGGCTACCTGCTTGAGGGCCTCATCTAATATCATCTGTAGGGGTATTGTGCAAGGAAAGAAGCACTCCCAAACCACTTTATACATACAAACCAACAGCTGAATTGCAACCAGAAACTGAGCGCCAACCAGTACAGATCTTGGAGCACAGCTGTAACATAATCCCCATAAATCAACCTGCTAATCAAGCACACATGTAACAGGTAAAGTTTTCATGGGGCCTTCTGGTGTAATTCCTATAGATAACACTTATTTTTATTATTTGTTTTGATGTGGGGCCTAAAGGCCCAAACTGAGATCAGGTCCCAACTCAGATAGTTACCACACAAAATCGGGGACAGTCCCTGTCGCAAAGAGCTTACAATCTAAATAGACAAGATGGACAAAAGGCAAGGAAAAAGTATTATTCCCATTTTACAAATGGGGAAAGGAGAGACAGATTAAATGACTTGTCCAAGACAAAGTCACACTAGAAGTCTGTGTAGATGGGTGACAAAGGTGCAAATTACTGAAGCTAAAATTCTGCATCTTCAAAAGGTCAAACCTTTCTACTCAAACTCAGATGGGGAAGTGGCTTTGGCCATTGCTACTACCTAGACATCCATAAATTAAGGAATTTCAACATGGCTGAGCTATACAGATGCCGTTTTGATAGAAACGATGGTAACACTCAACAATTCACCTTGCTTTTGTTAATCTGTCAGCATTTAGTCTGGGAACTGAAAATTTCATTTTCTGGTTTGGTTAATTTTATCAAGCAGAAGTCTTCCCAGCAGCAAATACTACAGGAGAGTAGTGTTTTTTTCTTGGTACTGAAAGAATAATTTTGCCCCAATTCTTAACTTGCAATGGTGTAAATCAGGAGTAACTCCATTAAAGTCAATAGGGTTAAACAAGTGTAAACCTGGCACAAGTGAGAGGAGAAGCAGGCGATCTGAAAATAAAGATTCTCCATTTTTCATAACATTAGCCCAATGTGCTTATTTCTTCATACCAATTATAACACAAAGGAACTTTCATTTTCCAGGAGGATTCTTAGCAAAAGTTCTCATGAATTTAAAATCTTGCTGAAGATTCAATTACTTGTCAAGAAAGTCTCCTGTGTTATTTTTGTCTGTCACAACTCAAAATTAGGAATTCTGTTTTATATGTTATTGTACACAACATTCAAGCTATCCAATAGCCCAGTCTCATAGTCACTTCCTTAATGCTTTGCATTTCTTAGCCTTCTGTAGGGAAACGTTCTTCCTACAGATCCAACCTTGAGTTTATGAAAAGTTGGCACATGTCAGTATAAGATATGGCATCCTTCCACCTCCCTTCCAAGGGACCAATGCTTGCCTTAAGACATAAAGGAGACAATCTTTATTATCATATACTTTCACTGTTTCTTTGCTTTAACCCCTAGGAATGTACCTGTTGGACAATCAAAGGAGTTGCTCCATTCCTACGGACGCCATATCAGAATTCAACATCTATATTTTATACTAATAACATTTTATCAAAGTATTAATTAAATGTTAACTTGCTAACTTGAGACCATGGGCGGAGACATTATGTAACCTGTTAACCATTGGCTAATGTGCTATCTTGTCTTGCTGCAAAACCTATCCCGGGGTGTGGAACTGCCTACCCCGTCACTTTCCCCCGCCCATGGAAAATCTATATATTCTATTGTAATCAATTGATTGACAGTGTCTCTGAGACTAATAAGCAAGATGACACTCCACCAGCACTGTGTGTAAAACTCCTATGCTTGACCTCTACACGGTGTGGATTTATGTCCTTCACCTTCCATCCAAAACTCTCCAAAATGCCTTAAAATCCTAAATTAGGCATCACAGCTCTCCTCCCGACAATTTATTACAATACCCATGCAGTACAGACAATCATAGCTAAAGTTGCAGAAGAGATTCCATTGTAGCTCTCTGCTTTCATATTCTGATGATTTCCTGAAATATTTACTTTGGGGATGAAGTTGTGTGTTCAGTCTCTCCCCACAATTTTTAAGCAAAATTCTTTCAGCTCCTTTGGAGTTTGGGGAAGGGCAAACAGGTGTGTATATAAATGAGCATGTTTCTTCCCTACATAGGTTATTAAAAATTACTAACATTTCACACTATCTATTAAGACATACTTCAATAGACAGTCTCTGCTTTGCTAAATTTGAAAAAGCGGTTTAAAGATAAATTTTATCATATTTTAAATGCGAAACAGGGTATTTTATTAAGCAGTTACCTGTGCACTTCAAGGACAGACACACTGTGAAGACATATGCAGCTAGTCTGAGTTAGCAAATACATACAGAAGAACTCACTAGCTTTCCACTGCCAAAGCAAGCCATGTCTGTAAGCTGCACAAGGCTACTACTTCACTTAGATAAGCAAAACAGCACCTGGGAAACTGGGCTTATTTTTGTTTTGTTTTGTCCTTTTCATGTTTTATTTCAGCGTCTTAGCTCCCCTCACAGCTGACATAGGGATTTTCTTTTACATGCAGCCAGAGTGAAAACTGCATTTACCACCATCAACGTTAATGACTTATACCACACACTGAACTAGTGCCATGCATTTCTATTTTTTTTTTTCTCACTTGGCCAAATTCTGCCCTCATGTACACATCAGCAACTGCTGTTGATTCCAATAGAAATCTTGTCCATTGGTTATTTCCTTTGTAACAGTGCACGGAGTAGCTTGGGCTGGCCATGTCCCACTCACCATGCATGTCCATCATCCCTGGAGAAGAGCTATTCTCTGGAGTGGTCACTTCAGAGCCACATTTTTCATCTTTGCCTTTTTTCTTATTTTTGTTTTTCTGAAAAACAAAAACACCCCCCAAAAATTAAAGTCACCAAATAGTTAGCCAGGAAACCAACATCCATGTGTTAGTGTAAAACTCTCTCTTTCAGCTCAGTGCATTAGTCCTGTAAGCATATTATGCTTATAATTTTCATGTGGGAAATAAGGCCAAGTCAAGAATTACCAAGAACACTGATGAGGCAGTCATCATAAGAATCTCTGAGAAACACTTATACAGTTTATTCTTTATGACCCACCGAAGGGAAAAAAAAGAGCAACTATTATCAGAAGTTCTGCTAATGTTTAGTGTTTATAAACATTATTAATATTAATATTTGTATACTGTAGTGTCTAGGAGCCCTAGTCACAGATCAGGAGACCTTTACTTTTCATCTTCAAAACCACTGCACAACATAACATCACCCTTGTGAGGTAGCTCATTATTATCCCCCCATTTTGCAGCTGGAGAAATTGAGGCAGAATGCTCCAGTGACTTATCCAAGGTAAAATGAAGGAGCTGCACAAGAATCAGGATTAGAACTGGGGAGTTGCTGGTTGCCAGCTCTGTGGGCAGAACAAAATACCACACCTCTCTCCTTATAACAGAAATTTTACCATAACTTACTGCAGTGCTATAACCAATAGCACAGGCTCTAGCAGTTTTGCACCTTTCCCAAGTGCAGTCATACTACTTTGTAGCTGAAAGCCCACCTGTACGTTATGCTTGGGGGCAGCTCTCTTTAGAGAGAGGAGTAGAAATTTACTAAAGAGAAGTATTTGAACACGTACTTTGTTCCCCCTGGATGTTCGCCAGAGCTCTGCTGGCCTTCAGAACACAATGAAAAACTCATTTTATTTTCGGCCTAGCATCTGTTTTGCCTAGGGCTAAGACTGTGGACGACTCCTCCCCCACAGCTGGTGTATCGGGAGGCTTGAAGGTATATAATACTCCAATAGGTATATAGTTTAATTTATTATGCACCATTAAGGTGTTTTTGGGGTATTTTTATTGCTGTTTTTCCCCATTCCCAAGAGCTACAAAGGCAACTGGAAAAGGAAAGACAATATCAAGAGAATTCCTGCCAAGACCTAGAAGCCAAAAGTGGAGGCAACGTCATTAGAGTAAGGGCTGGGATTTGGGAATTCTTTACATGATTTCTGACTCTGCCACTTTGGAGCCTTGAGTATATCAATTCCCTGCTTTGTACCTCAGTATCCTATTCTGGAAAATAGGGATAACAGTGATCTACCTCACAGTGAAGTGACAAACATTACTAGTAAAGCACCTTGAGATTGCTAGATGAAAGACTGGCAGGCTGCAAGTGCCAAGTATTTTAAAGAGTATGAAGTGGTTCTGAAGAGAGAATGGAGTAGGGGTAATTATCTCCTGGGAGGGCTGTATTATGAAGCAACAGCCTGCTCCAGGTTATCATCTAGTCACCTAGGACAGAGCATCTTCACTTTTTGCATGCATTTTTGAATGTGTGCATGATGGTAATGGTGGGGGACTGAGAATTTTCACATGGAAAGGATGGCTGTTTCCTGCCTGCCTGCCTCCCTCCCACTGACCCAGGCTGCTGAGACTTCTCCCTTCTCCATATACAATGTAGTTTCTGCATTAAATCCAAAAGGCGGAGCAGGAGGGATTATGAGAGAAAGAGACATCCCAGCAGCAGCAAGACAGTCCTGCATGCACACACCCCTGCTCCATGTCCTGTGTAATAGCAGGAGCTGCAAGAGTTAAAGCAACAAAAGAGATGTTTGCATCCATATGAAAATCCATGTCTAGAAAGGGATGCAGCATTTTCAATTAGGAGATGATGTAATTGGTCTCCTAGGAGAAAGTGCCAGCTGCGCTGCTCTTGGAATACCCAGTTCCTGCTGAGAGAGAGGAGAATGAAAAGCCAGACTTCAGGGAGGGAGAAGCTCAGTAACCAACCCATTATGATCAGGCAACACTCTCCAATGAGGGACAGAAACAAGAAGACAATCAAGTATGGTCTAAGGCTGCAGAAGAATTTCAACAAGACAGACACTGGGGCACTTTTCTCTATCCTTGGAACAAGGTTTTTTCCCCCCCTATTAAAATATACATCATAAATACAAACACTTACATATACATATTTCAGAAAGTTATTGACAAATCTAACAGCTCTGGATCAAGGAGGCCACACTTCCCAGAAGCACTATGTTTCTTTTCAGAGGAAGCAAAAGGGTAGCAGCTGAGTGAACAGCTCCTAAACCATCCCACCAAAACAGCTCAGGTGGGCCTAGGAGCACCATGTGCATTGATGGGGGGAGACACTAACCATGCCCCCTAAAATGGCATACAACTTCCTTTGGGGCCATGGAGCATTGCAGGACACATTAGTAAGACCCCATCCTACCATTCTAATGAGCACTAGGAGGGTATCTTAATCTGCTTCTGTGCATGTAGGCCAAGGGCTGGTGGAGAATAATCCTTGTGCCCAAATTAAAAGACCAAATTTTGCCCTCCTTCCTTTAGGTTCTCTCAAAATGTATAGCTCTTTTCTGTTCAGGGATCTCATGTGCCACAAGGCAGAGACCCTTTCATCTTAAACAAGGCTGCAACAGCATGTGAATGTTAGAATGACCTAGTTTCAAAGGGCCTCTGTCAATTAGTTTTAGCCTCAAAATCAAGGGTTATTTGCCCAATATGCCAAATTATGGTCCAAATATTCTAACTGGTTACATGTGAAAAGACTCTCAGACAAATACAGAGCCTCACTGACTGTAACGAGGATCCGCCTATGCAGAGACAATATGCTCACACAGAATATGTCTATGAATTCAGTTCTAATGTACTATGAAGGACATTTTTAAAAAAATGTCAGAAGTATTCTGCTGGATGCAGGCTTAGATGCAGGAAAGTTTGTCTGGAAAAACCCTAGAAATTGTAACTCCCACATCTCAAATATATTTAACAAAGCATACATTATAACAGCAATCATTTTCTCTGTATAACAAGTAATCCAATTAGTGCCAACACTTATCAAAGAGATAAAAAGTTTCTATGCAGAACACTTCTGTGAAAAAATAGGCATCCTAACTGACGAGAGCTTATTTCACACACAAGCTGTTCAGCTTTGAAGAAACTTTTAAATACAAGAGACTCTCTGGAAATCTTTGCCGCATGTCAGCTAGTGAAGTCTTTAGCACAACTTTTTTTTATTGTGATTACATTTACATAGACGTTCAAGACAGGCATGTTAATTTAAATATCTCAACCATTCAACAGCTGAGGGAAGGTGTTGTGCAAGTCCATGAGGGAACCGTGTAGCTCCAGCAATGGATGCAGCTTCCAAGTATATCATCTACATCTTCTAACTGGCCACAGTAGCAAAGCGGAAAGTCACGAAGGCCTCACTTATAGACATTTGCAGCACACTTGGTCCCTCTACATCTGAAGCAATTAAGCTTTGCCACAGATAGCTTGGAAGGTCAAAATCAGGGGCTGGACTGTTGCATAGGCATTGGCTCTGTTTGTAGCTTCTTCTTGCCATCTAGTGGTGACAGAGGTTCTTTAAAGCAGTGGTTCTCAAAGCCGGTCTGCCACTTGTTCAGGGAAAGCCCCTGGTGGGCCGGGTCGGTTTGTTAACCTGCCGCGTCCGCAGGTTCGGCCGATCGCGGCTCCCACTGGCCACTGTTCGCCGCTCCAGGCCAATGGGGGCTGCAGGAAGGGCGGCCAGCACATTCCCCGGCCCGCACCGCTTCCCGCAGCCCCCATTGGCCTGGAGTGGCGAACAGTGGCCAGTGGGAGCCGCGATCGGCCGAACCTGCGGA